CGGCCCCCCGTTCACGGGGCTGCCCGCGTCTGCGGGGGGGGGGGTTTACTCATCCCAAGCAAAATGGGATCTAGCTTAAGCTAGCTAAAGAGGAACAATCAGCTAGCTCAAGCTAGGTAAATGTTCCTTTTAGCTAGCTTAAGCTAGATCCTATTTTGCTTGGGATGCTCGATCTTACACTATATTAAGTTCAGATTCTTTTCTCACACTGTCATCTTTTCATTCTCTAGATGGAATATCGGATGAAGTTCAACTGATGAAGTCCAGACAAAAGAGAAACAACACCCTTTTGTGGTGGAAGGGCATATTTCTACTCACATACTCTTTATATAATCAGATCGATTTCTCTTTTAGTTGGACTTCTAGCGATGAGAAGTTAAGCTGACATACATCCAGTGACGATGAATAACATATCCAATTTTTAGCGTTTCAGGATCGCTCGTTAGACAGAACAGGTCATTTCTTCCGAATTGAGCGAGACTTTTGGGTCATCCTCTAGCTTTCGTTGTTGCTTTGTCTCTTTATTAAAGCGACAAGCTGTGGATAGTGTTCAGGGAGTCAATTATTAAATGAGTTCCGATGTATCCATCATGCATCCAGATTCCCTGTAGAATAGAACTTTTGACTTTCGTCACTTAAGTGACTTAATGTAATTCGGCACATCGACCGGTACGATCTTTCCAGCTGCAGTTTTCGGTCTGGCAACGCATTCTACTGTAGCTGTAATGATATGAACAAAGTTTCTACCTACTAGACGAGTCTTTCTGTATGCTCTAAACAAGGCTCTTTATTTTGTTCCCTGGCTTTCTTTCCAAGACTCATTCGTGTTACTATATATGTTCATGTGGTTTGGGTGTTTGTTGTTCGTCTCTCCCTAATCGTTGGTTTTTGATATATTCGATGAGCCAGACTAGAGGTCGTCACACTGTTTCCTACGTCATCGAACGACTGAGTTCACTCTGAGTTTTCCTTTTAACTGTCCCCCTCCTCTTTAGATTCATTTGTGTCGTTCGATCAAGCAATCGAACGAACAGACGCGTAAAGAACTTTTGTTGAAGTGTATTTTCCTTTTGTCAGAATCAGAAAATATGTTTAAACCCAGCTCCAATTAATATTAAAGCGTCCAGCAGCGGTCGAACCGCCATTAATTCGTCGAAACGCTTCTGGTGAGAGATCCAGATCTCCCGATACGACAAAAGGTGGAATCTTATTATTTCTCGAGAACGATAGCACTCACACACAGGCTGGGCATCGATCTACAATCTTAACATTAACCGATCCTTTCGGTCCGTTCACTCGAGCATTACGACTACATAAGGTGTTTCTATTCGGGTTTCCATTGGGTGTGCTCGGATCAAATTGCGGTGCATTAAGAGCGGCAATAAGGTCCTTCGCTCCATTGCGTTGACCACAAGCTCCCAAACCTGGAGCATAATAGGTAGCTTCGCCATTGAAAGCATCTAATATATCAATAAAATCAAACGACATTCTTAGTTGCTAATACGTACTGATCATCACCGTTCCAAGTAAAGTGATGAGAAATAGAGAAACAATCTTCTTTGATAAAGACATCATTCTTGAGTTTATCGAGAACAGTATTTTCACTGGCTTTTATATCTGTTCTGTTTTTCGAATGAGTCAGCCCATCCCAGTGAAAAAAAGGATTATTTTGCACCAAAATTAATTTCGGAATTGATTGAAAATTTCGACTATCATTCACGACGGATTGAAATCTGATTACTCTGTAACAAAATCATCAATCCGACTGAAAATATGATTTTGTTGCAGAGTAATCAGATTTCAATCCGTCTATTTTTCACAACACAAGCAGGAATATCAAATTTCGATTCAATCATAGTGAATGATAGTCGAAATTTTCAATCAATTTTGAAATTAGTTTTGGTGCGAAATAATCTGGATTAGATCGTCGATATTTTTCACTGAGATATTGCTTCTTTTTCAGCCTTATCTTCTGCTTCTACCTTTATTCATCTACTTTTTCTCTCGCGAATTTCTTGCAAAACACTCAGTGCTCGAAGTACGAAGGTTAGCAAAGTCAACAAATATGAACAAGGTAACGTTCATCAGCGTTCGATTCACTCGTCGTCTGAGTTGGCAAGCGATCAACGTCCTTCGAGTTGCTGTCATTTGATCAACACATTGCCGTAGTATGGTTTATGTCTGTGGACAGAGTAGTCGGTGAATGATTTAGCGCTATACGAACACAAACACATTCTTTCTCACGCGAATGGTGGAAGTTTCAAAAGGATCTCAGAAAATGAGAAAGAAAAATACCGTTCTCTTTTCCCTTCAGTTCTCGTGGACTGCTTGATCGTCTACGATATCGCCGAATCAGTACCATTTCAATGTTCAAAAAAATCCTGCACGAAAGTCAGTACCAGTGCCACAATGGCTTGGCATTAGAGCCTTCAGGTCAATATTCACTACCCGTTCGTATCTAATCCGATAATTCCGAGAAAAATTCTCGTCGCAATGCTTTCGCAATTTGTATAACACAATTGAAAAGAAGTGTTGAAATATAGAGTAGAAGAAGTGAATCCCTGACATGAAGTGACTATCGATCATTCCATCAGCTTCCAAGGACATCTTCATATCTATTTTATCATCTTCTCGACATGGTGTCTGTGTATATGTCTCCTGGATGTTGCATCATCTTCAGGCGTAGTATATACAACAGACGATTTTACAATCTATGGGAACCTCTCTCTCCCATCGAAGACAGATCTTCGTTCTCGGGAGTTCGCTGCCTGCAGAGATCGTCGCCCTCCCGCTCCCTCACCCACAGACAGTGATACACGAGAGGTAGAAAAGCGAAAAAATGACCAACGCACAGACAGGATGAAGGAGCAGGCACTTGATCAATCTAGTGAAGATAGAGAGAGAATAGTCATCTGTTCTGTCACAGTTGTGGAACGAAACCGAAAATCATGAATCATAATCGGTAAACTGAGGACCTTCGAGCATCAGTAGATTGGGTCAATCGAATTTCACATGTTAAACCGCCAGGATGACGCTAAAAGCTTCCTCAAAGTGGATTACGACGCGTTGTGAAGATTGATTCAAAATCGATCTGCTACGCATAGACAGAGAAGAACAACTCGAGTTGAAAGTAAAGTAAAAGAAGCAAAAGGCGCGAAGATCGTCAACCAAGAGAGAAGGAGATGTTTCTCTATCATTCACTAAACGAAGATCATATCGACGTCTCTAATCCAACGATTCGAGCAAGAGCATGTATGTTGGCAGAGATGAAAACCATCATGTGGATAAATATACGGGAAGAAAGAAATTCCTGATCAAAAACGAGAAAGAAAGAGTGATGAAGAATGAAAAGACTTTCGTTCGCTGGTTTAAAAAACATGCTGCAGACAGACAGACAATTGCTTATACTTATTCACTTATTCACCACCTTGCAGACCGTATCCTTTCAGTCTAGGGAATATAGATTTATTTGTGAAGTCTGTTGATGCAATCAAAAGGAAAACAGGCGTACAAAATAGTCTGTGCGGAATAAATTTGATATTGGAATGCGTTTATCAATGAATCATTTTTGGTTGTGTCATAGTCACGTTATTCCTGTTTCTCAATGGTGATGTTTAATGGCTTTTCGAACTTGCATCAAAGTAATCCCCAACTGATTTTGACCTGATCCATCTCCACCATCACCCCAGTACGAATCATTTCCAGTATGTTCAATTAGAGTGCGATGTCCCGTTGATAATAACAGGTGTTTAAGATGTAGATGCTGCTGAAACTTAGCCATACATGCTTTCAGCATGACCGCATCTCTAACGTCCATCCAATCTGATCGTGTCTCAGAACGATGGGCTTGAGCGTAATCGAAAGCTTCTCGCGGCGTGGACAATTGTGCAATATGTCTGACGCGATATTCATCATACGAGAACTTTTGTGCTTGAAAGTAATGTTCGACAGTAGGCCAGATATGTCCATCAAGTTCAATAGGCGCAGGATAAAAGTTACCAAACTCACCATATGGTTCATCAAGATGGTAAAAGTGAATAGCTGAAGTATGATTGTTGTGCATGTTGATCACTCTTGTACACCTACCGGGTATCCGGAAAGTCACCTACCAAAATTATATGTTGTAGGCAAAATTAGAATTCTAAATTTGACTAAGTTAGTCAAAATTAGAATTTAGGCAAAATTGGAATTAAAATGGGAAAATCAGAGATCACAACTGATAAAGTCATAAAATTAATTATATGTGCTAAAATCATGCTCTTAGTTTCTCCTGCTAGGTAATAAGGAATTGCATACTATTGGTCGACAACACAGTTTGTCGACAGATATTTTGTCGACAACTTTTCGTCGACAGCTTTTGTGTCGACAGGCACTTCGTCGACAAGAATTTTGTCGAATTTATTTCGTCGACATTTTTTATTGACAGGCACTTCGTCGACAGACAGTTTTGTCGACAGAAAGTTCGTCGACAAGAATTTTGTCGAATTTATTTCGTCGACATTTTTTATTGACAGGCACTTCGTCGACAGACAGTTTTGTCGACAGAAAGTTCGTCGACAACTCATTCTGTCGACAGTTATTTTGTAGACAACTCATCTCTTTGTCGACTTTGGTGCATGTATTACATAATCTCCTGTGAAAATGGGCAAGAAGAAAATTTATGGGCAACAAACATGTCGCATTCAACAGTTCTCGATACACTCGTGGATCGATTCAAGAAGAAAGAGATCGACGTGATCGACTACATCCAAGGCCTTTTGATCGCAAGAAGATATAATGTTTCAAACCTTTCAACGTTTGTTTTAACGTTTTCATCTTGTTAGTCCGCTAGTCATCTATGTTGTCTTTATAATTACTCCAGCTGTTATTTTCTCCTCTATCTGCTCAATAAAATCAAAATATAAATTGGTGCTCCTGAGCATTAATAATTTTTTCACGCATATTACTCAACAAAATATTCGTCGACAAAATCACTTGTCGACAAATTATGCGTCGACGAAAAATTGTTGACAAAATAACCCGTCGACAAGATATTCTTTCGACACTCAAGTGTCGCCAAAAAATTGTCGACTAAAGTGCTAGTCGACAAAAATTAGTCGACGAATGATATACATACCGGTAATAAGCCATACTCACCCACTGATGTATTAGATGTATTAGAAGGAGCTTAAATTAAAGAATAATCACAATCTCGAGAAGTTATTAGCTGAGAAGCTAGAACATCTGTGTGTGACCATGAAAGAAACAATTGTTTTAATTCAATTGTAATTCTTGCAACAAACTCCTTTCCATTATCACTATGAAGCAACCGTGGTGGACCAAAAGCAAGTGTGAACTTTATAATTGAACTCCCTCTTCTCTGAATGTGAGAGAAGATAATGAAAAGACAGTTAAGCTAAAAATAAAATAGTGCTACAACTTCGAATTGCTGGCGCCTTATTAATGGATAAATGATTAAAATTCATTCACATTTTTCTTCAGAACGTAAGGGATTGTTATTATCTTGCAGTTATTTTGAAGTTCTGGATAGCATTGATGAAGGTCATAATATTCATACAAATTACCCAAGCATGAATTCGTAAGCGAAAAAATCTAGATACACTGGCTGGGGTATCGCCCGATACTCTAGCAAAAGTATCTAGATAAAAGAGTAAAACATATCGGGTTATCTAGATGCATCGGGTTTTACTCGATTACACGATGCAATATCCGATGCATCTAGTAAGAAACTATGGTTGATAGAAAACAATAAGAACTAGGTACATCTAGCGATCAAGCGTACGGTTCGTCTAACTGTTTTAAAAAAAGAATCGCAAGATATAAAAGGCGTTATAATTAGTTGTAAATCGAGGTGAAAAAAAACGAAGAAAGAAACACAGCTCGTGCAGAGATTCGAACTCTGGACCTAGAGATCAGTAGTCTTCTATCTACGCCATTGTACCACACGAACTTACAGAAATAGATATACATTTTTCATTCTCTTCTTGTTATTATGGATAGAAATAACACTAAAGGAGAAGTGACGGTAAAGTCATTTTTTCGTCCAAAACATTTAGGGAAAAAACTATATGGTTAGAATCAGCATTAAATTCTGAACAAAACGGTATATTTTTTTTGAAAAAAAATAACTTTTTATTTTTTTTGCCCTGGTACCCCTCCAGGGAAAACAAATTTTTTTTTTCTGTTTTTCACTCTAATTTCATCTAGATATAGGTTATCGACCACGCTGATCACGAATATAAGGTTTGTTTTGCATGAAAATGTGCTTTGAATGAAAAAACTGCCTCCTTTGACAAAGGTAAATTTTTTACCTTTGTTCAGAAATCACTGTCTTCCAACCCTAAAAATCAGTTTATAATAGCAATAATACTTTATATATATCTAGAAACGATTGTTGAAACGACTAAAAAAACTGGAAAAACGGCGTATATTATTCTCAATGTTGGCCAATTTATTTGATGACGAGTTTTTGATCCAATGAGTTATATATACAGATCGACGTAGTTTTTCATGCTCTATCGGAATATGACCTTGAAACTTAAAAAAAGATTGCGGAAAATGTGAAAGTGGGAAAAAATCTGATAAAATCAGGTTATTTTCATTTTTTCAGTGTACTTTATCGACCAAATCAATTTTTTTTCGATGTTAAATATTGTAAATATAGATCTATTTGAATTCTCTCTTCATCTGAAGCAATTTGAGGCAGATCTGTAAGTCACTACAGTAGTAGTGCTGATCCCAGACGGCACGAAGAGCCCGATCTGCAGGGTCTGAGTAGGTTTGTTTTTTCTTTAAGTTTCACTATTTTTTTAGTCCGTTTCATTATTTACACCTATTATATAGAGTGAGAGAAAAAAATCGATGCTTAATTACTTACGAGGGAACATTCCCAGGTGCCGGAATCCGATTTCGTCCGTTCATGTGCCGATCGATAGGTCCTATTGAGGTGTGAAAAAGCCTCAAAGGATATCTGCCCGATTTGCTTCCTTCCAAAGTTACACCCGTTTTTCTGTTTTTCCCAGCGAAAAACGCACTACATTGAAAAATTCATAACTCAGTCAGTTTTTTCAATATCCGCTTGAAACTTTCATCGAAAACAGGTGACCTGGTCTAGTATTTATGTTGAAAGTTTCAGCTTTCAACTGTGTTTCCTTTCCGAGATACAGAATTTTTCGTTCTTCAAGCGATTGCTGTGCCAATTACATGATCACTTTGAGCGTTCGCGGCAGATATCTTTCGAATAACCTTTTAAATACTTTTCCAGGACTCTATACAGTGCAACACGTCTTCGTCTCGCTGGGTGTGAGAATAGGTCTGCTTGTCTGTTGGTAGATGCTGTCTGATGAAGTTCGATAAGAGTAATGTGACATTGTGTGGATTTATCATTTTTGGATTTTCTTCAGTATTTTGGTAAAGTTCGTCTGGAAAGAGTTAGAGAAAAGTTTAAGAGAAAGGTCTTTTTGTGTTTGCTTTGTTTCTTGCTGCTTTATTCAGTTATTAAGTTTAACAATTTCACAATTTAAAAGTACTTTAAGTGGTAAGAAACCATGAGATCCGTTTACATGACTAAAATCAGCTGATTAAAAGAAAAGTGACAGTGTTCATGTAATTGGCACAGCAATCGCTTGAAGAACGAAAAATTCTGTATCTCGGAAAGGAAACACAGTTGAATTTTCGTTCTTCAAGATTGGAATTCAAGATTGGGTACCAGGGCAAAAAAAATAAAAAGTTATTTTTTTTCAAAAAAAATATACCGTTTTGTTCAGAATTTAATGCTGATTCTAACCATATAGTTTTTTCCCTAAATGTTTTGGACGAAAAAATGACTTTACCGTCACTTCTCCTTTAGTGTTATTTCTATCCATAATAACAAGAAGAGAATGAAAAATGTATATCTATTTCTGTAAGTTCGTGTGGTACAATGGCGTAGATAGAAGACTACTGATCTCAGAATTTAATGCTGATTCTAACCATATAGTTTTTTCCCTAAATGTTTTGGGCGAAAAAATGACCTTACCACCATTTGTCCTTTAAAATAACTAATTAACAATAATAAGCGTTTCTTACCATAATGTAAGCATTTATTAGACTTTTTAGTTTTCCCGAATTTTCACTGTGAAGGAGATGTTTTCCAAACTTGAGCCTAGAAGATGAAATTTAGCAAATTAAATTTCCTCAATTCTATCTGTTAGGCTCAGCTTTGTACAACTTGAGCTTCACGGTGCAAAATGATAGCTACTGTTCCTCCTCATTTAGAACAAGGTGATTTCTCACTAGTTGCATCTAGCTGGAAATCGCCTTACACTAGATGCATCCCTCGATATTAACGATAGCATGGAATGGAATTGACTTAAACCAATGTTCAAGCAGATGAATCGATCAATTTATCCCACGATGCATCGCCCAATACATTGTACGATGTATCGGCAGCTTTATCGGGCGATTTCACGCGTGTCTCACCTGCAGTCGATATACAACTAGATTCATCTTCCAATATATTGCCCGATGAATCGGGTTAAAATCGCTACTAGATACATAACTAGATACATCTAGAAAAGAATCGGCTGTATCTAGATGTATCGGCCGATAACCAACTTTTTCTTTTTTTTACGCATCTAGATGTATCGCGTTTTGTATCTAGTATATCTAGTTGCATCGGGTGATACCCGATACATTTTTCATACTTGGGTATATTTCAGCTTTGTTTTATGAAAAGAGAAAAGGTACTTTTTAAAGGTGTCCTCTCAGTTCGTCCCAAACTGGCTTTGTAAGATCAAACAACATCAAAGGGGCGAGCAGGTGTGAGAGTGAGCAATTTGGGACGAACTGAGAGTAAACCCTTTTTAAATGCAAATTATGTTTATTCTAATTATCTTAATCAAACATTTTTTATACATACAATACTGTATTTTTTATACATGTCAATACTGTAGTCAATATGATATATGTAATTTAAATGTATGTATAAAAAATGTTTGATTAAGATAATCATAATATTTTACTTTAAGGCCACCCCCCCTCAAAATCGGATCTCGGCTTCCATGTCACGAAATTGCATGACAT